TAAAACAAAAATTTGAAGCACTTTTTTTGAGCAGTAGCAACAAAAAAAACTGATTTTGAGGAAAAACGCCTTAAGATTTTGAGATTTTCTCTATGAGTTAGCAAAGTTTTGTTTCTTTTTAGCTGGAAAATCTCAACATTCAAATATAATTTGAGGTTTTCTCTTTATAAGAACATCAAAAGTTCCTCATTAAAATGACATAAAATTAGGATTCAGACCAAATATTTATGTATTATTGTAACCAACAAGACAAATTAAGTCATATATATGGATTTAATTATGATATCAGAATGATCCAGGTGTCAAAATGTAGCTTTTAAAACCAAGAATCTGAAAATGTATTTAGGTCATTTTGACCATGTTTGACTTAACCCTCATTTCGACATGATGGGTCACATATGACTTAATTTGTCTTGTTGGTTACAATAATGCATAAATATTTGGTCTGAATCCTAATTTTATGTCATTTTAATGAGGAATTTTTGATGTTCTTATAAAGAGGAAACCTCAAATTATATTTGAATATTGAGATTTACCAGCTAAAAAGAAACAAAACTTTGCTAGCTCACAGGGAAAATCTTAAAATTTTAAGGCGTTTTTCCTCAAAATCAGTTTTTTTGTTGCTACTGCTCAAAAAGTGCTTCAAATTTTTGTTTTATGATTATATTTCAGACAGTTCATTCAAATGATACATTAATAAGGCTTTTATTCATTATATTTTGACAGAATGCAATTTTAGTTAACATTTTAGTCAAAAAACTATATTTGCCTATTTCTCCATACACAACTTTTGGACTTAATCCTCATTTCGATGTGATGGGTCACAAATGATTTTATCCTATTTCTTCAGTATCTGGCCCGCCCACTACATTCCTGCGGCTGAAACCAGATACTCAGACAATATAAACTTTCCTAATGTTTAATTCAACAGTATTTATGTGTTGTCTTGGTGCTCCAGGCATGTAACTAAAACTATTTTAATCAAGACATAACAATAATCACACAATAGTTTATACAAGCCAGTAATTACCTGGTAAAACTATAAAATGATGTTGTGCTTTTAGAATCAGTAAGTAAATGACCAATAAATTTCTTCAACTATTTTACAGCTAACAGCACATTCTGGATCTCTCAACACTACTTTTAATCATATGAGACTGCTTATGTCCTAAAATATAAAAATATAGTCTGATAAGGAAGAGAGTCTAAACAAGCTAAAATGAGCACTTATTGCATTTTGCGTGCCAACTATTTGTTCCTGTTCTTTGCCCTTTTCCTCACAAAGTGTAGCAGGACCTGCTGATCAGCAAAATGCAAAAGTAAACATTATTCACACTCACAGCCACAATCCGCTTCATTGCCTCCAGCTTCAGGGAGTCTTTGTTACTGTCCAACATCTCTTTCAAGTCATCATGTCTGTGGGGAGAAAACAGATTTAATCCACAGCACAGTTTCTGTTATTACAAAATAAAAACAGAAACGCACCAAAGGCATCAAACAAGTATAATAAAGACAAGTTTTAAATTTTGCATTCAGAGCTCAGAATCAGAGCCTGACCCAGTAATTATTCTCTTAGAAGTGTGAAATATGGCTTGCAAATATGTAAACATGTGAAACTAAAGTGCTTTAAGAAGGAATGATTTGAGAGCAGATTAATCCCTCAAAAAGGGTGTTTTCACAGACCTGATATCGTTTGCAAAAACAAGGAAACTGAAAATTTCTTATGCAATTTTCTTACGTGTATGTACATATTTTCTCATGTTCCAAAAGAGCGATGGAGAACAGCACAGCAGTCACTCTCATTCTGGAAGGAGTGCGTGTTTTGTGCATATTTCTTTCTCCATGATGTGCTAGCAGCAGTATCTTGAGGATTCCTGGTAGGGTTGGGTGGTATTGATCATTTTCACACCGCAGTATAGCCTTCAAAATATAGCGCAGTATACGGTGGTGGTGATGGGAGTGTGGGGTTAAGTAAGTAATAATTAATAGAGAAATGGCTGCTTGTGAGCATTTAAATGAATAGAACCAGAGAGAGGCGGTAAAAACTGATCTGCTCTGAACTTTTTTTGTTGGGGTGGGTGGGATTGTATTCCTCAAAAATTAAAAATTTTGAAGATACATAAAGCTCTACAAAACATTTGTTGTCAAAATAAAAGTACATCTTAACAAATGTTAAATATTTAATAACTTATAATCCATTAGTATGATTTGGTCATTAAATTACCATACAGCGGGTAAAATAAGTACTGAACACGTCACCATTTTTCTCAGTAAATATATTACTAGAGGTGCTAATGACATGAAATTTTCACCAGATGTCGGTAACAACCCAAGTGATCCATATATACAAAGAAATCAAACCATAAATGCCCAGAAATGAAGTTATTTGTAATAATGTGGAATGGCACAGGGAAAAATGTATTGAACACATGAAGAAAGGGAGGTGTAAAAAGGCATGGAAAGCCAAGACACCAGCTGAACTCTCTCAGTAATTTGAAAGCAAGCCTGCCCCTTGTCAGTGCAAGTTAATATCAGCTGGTTCAGTCCCAAATGATGGCCAGGTATCACACAAGAACCATCTGATGATGGGTAAAAGTAAAGAGCTCTCTCAAGACCTTCACAACCTTATTGTTGCAAAGCATAATGATGGCATCGGTTACAGAAGAATGTCTAAACTTCTGAAGGTTCCAGTGAGCACTGTTGGGGCCATAATTCAGAAGTGGAAAGAACATTATTTCACCATAAACCGACCACGACCAGGTGCTCCTCACAAGATTTCTGACAGAGGAGTGAAAAGAATTATCAGAAGAGTTGTCCAAGAGCCAAGGACCACTTGTGGAGAGCTTCAGAAAGACCTGGAATTAGCAGGTACGATTGTTTCAAAGAAAACAATAAGTAATGCACTGAACCACCATGGCCTGTATGCACGCTCACCACGCAAGACTCCACTGCTGAAGAAACAGCATGTTGAAGCTCCTTTAAAGTTTGCTGCACAACATTTAGACAAGCCTGTGTAATACTGGGAGAATATAGTCTGGTCAGATGAGACCAACATTGAACTGTTTGGATGCCAGAATACACATCATGTTTGGAGGTCAAATGGCACTGCACATCAGCCCAAAAACACCATACCAACAGTGAAGTTTGGAGGTGGGAACATCATGGTGTGGGGCTGTTTTTCAGCATATGGTACTGGCAAACTTCAAATAATTGAAGGAAGGATGAGTGGAAAAATGTACAGAGACATTCTTGATAAAAATCTGCTTCCATCTACCAGGATGATGAAGATGAAACGTGGCTGGACATTTCAGCAAGACAATGAGCCCAAACACAAAGCCAAGGAAACTCTCAGTTGGTTTCAGAGAAAGAAACTAAAGCTGCTGGAATGGCCCAGCCAATCACCTGACCTGAATCCAACAGAAAATCTATAGAAAGAACTAAAGATCAGAGTTCATAGAAGAGGTCCACGAAACCTTCAAGATTTGAAGACTGTTTGTGTGGAAGAATGGGCCAAAATCACACCTGAGCAATGCATGCCACTAGTTTCTCCATACAGGAGGCGTCTTGAAGCTGTCATTGACAACAAAGGCTTTTGTACAAAGTATTAGATAAATTTCAGTAAGTGTGTTCAATACTTTTTCCCTGTGCCATTCCACATTATTACAAATAACTTCATTTCTGGACATTTATGGTTTGATTTCTTTGTATGTATTGATCACTTGGGTTGTTACCAACATCTGGTGAAAATTTCATGTCATTAGCATCTCTAGTAATATATTTACTGAGAAAAATGGTGACGTGTTCAATACTTATTTTACCCGCTGTATAATAATGGTAGTATGTTAAATATGTTAAACAAATACCATACCATCTTTATTTATAGAGCACTTTAAACACCCACAGGACCAAAGTGCTGTACACATAATAAAACATGCATACATTCATAAAACCAATAAAAAATGACAATAAAACATAAAAACAACACTACAAGTTGTGTTCAAAGGCCAGAGAGAACAGATGAGTTTTAAGAAGAGATTTAAAACCAGACAGGGACGATGCCTGTCTGATGTCCAGAGGAAGGTGGTTCCATCATTTAGGAGCTGCCACAGAAAAAGCACGGTCACCTCTGAGCTCACACTTTGTCTCTGGCACAGTCAGGAGCAGCTGATCAGATGACCTGAGGGATCGAGAGGGCCTGTAGCGTTGTAGCATATTGGACAGATAAGGCGGAGCAAGACCATTAAGAGCTTTAAAAGCAAATAACAAAACTTTAAAACGAATCCTAAAATATACGGGCAGCCAGTACAGGGAGGCTAAAACAGGAGAAACATGATCAAATTTTGGTGTGCCAGTTAAAAGACATGCAGCGGCATTTTGTACCCTCTGTAGCTGTGAGATACAGGACTCACTGATGCCTGTATAAAGTGTATTACAGTAGTCCAGTGTGGTAACAAAAGCGTGGACTACTGTCTCAAAATGTTTCTGAGAGAGAATTGGCTTTACTTTAGCCAGCTGCCTCAGATGGTAAAAACTTGATTTCACTACTGTTCTGATGTGGTTCTCTAAGTTAAGTCCAGTATCAACTTTTATGCCTAGATTAGTAATCAAAGGCTTGATGTACTGGGACAGTGAACCAACATCTACATCAGGTGTCTCAGTGGAGAGCTTCCAAAGATCATCACCTCAGTCTTCTTTTCATTAAACTTTAAAAAATACACTGCCATCCAGGCCTTCATTTCTTCTAAACATAAAAACAGAGGGCTCACAGAGTTGGTGTCCTTTTTCTTTAAAAGGGACATTTATCTGGGTATCATCGGCGTAACAATGAAAAGTGATACCAAATTTCCGTAGTATAGAGCCGAGTGGGAGCAGGTACAGCATGAAGAGGAGGGGTTCTAAAACTGAGCCCTGCGGAACCCCACACAAAAGAGGAGCAGAAGAGGTTACACTCTCACCAAGATGGACACAGAAAGTACGCTCAGCTAAGTAGGACCTAAACCAGTCTAGAGCATTCATTTGACTTTAAAAAAATTGACATTGTAAACAATCAACCAAACCATAATAGTTTAAATAAGTTATGCCCATGTACTTATGGCATTTTCTGGTAAACCACAACCAGGTAAGTGTCACAGATCAGTGTCACAGAACTGTGACACTGATGTTTGGTTGTAGTGTTGCTCTCATATAACCAGCAGAACGTATGGCTTGTGCCAAATATTTTTCTTCTCACCAATTACATAAAAAACGAGTTCTTCCAACTCATTCACAGGACTTACTCTGGAAAAGGAAACCTTAATTTTTTTAATTTGACATAGATTTCTGTGGTGTCTCTGTAGAATCTGTCACTCATCTTTTCCAGCTGTGTCCTTACTCCAACATTTTCGTGACTAAATATTAACTTTTTCAGCTAAATTGGTTCTGTTTGGTTTATATTAAAGTAAAAAATGATTTCAAATGAATTCTTTATTAATTTGATAATCATCCCATATGCGCATACTTTTGAAATTAAATGCATTGGTTAGACAATTAATTCCACTAAATTGAAACTGAATTTTATGGTTTGAAACTGAATTTAAAGTTTTGAATTAGAATTAATTTGCTTTGAAACTGTATTAGTTCATGGGCTAGGGTGGTTCACCGTGCACCCGCCCCCACTACTGAACTTCTCTGGTATTTTCATGTACCCTAGAGTCCAGTCTAGGGTTGGGCATAATCGTATCGTGTGCAATTAATCATCAGAAAAACAATAATCGATGAATTTTTGGCAGTTGACAATTAATACGAGTTATGCCACCTGGCAGCCTAACCGCTTGGTGTTCCTCTCTGATTCAAATATGACCAACAATAAAGAAATTTGTGTAATTTATTTATCCATCAACACAATTTAAAGTTTGATGTATAGCCTGAAGTCTGTAATTTTGACACAATTTGGAAGAGATTTCTACGAAGAGCCAATTTTCTCCCTATAAATTGGGCATGTGACTAAGATTTAAGGGTGTCCAGGGACTCCAGGGGATTAATCATCAAATTAATCGTTATCGGCTAAATACCACAATTAATTGTGATTAATTTTTTGCCAATATTGCCCAACCCTAGTCCAGTCTTTCAGAAAATGCATGTTAACAGAAAAAAAGCTGGGTCTCACTGCCTCACTGAAAACACCAGATAAGTTCAGTAGTGGTGTGTGCATGGTGACCCACCCTAACCCACAGACTAAAAAAAACCTTTAAAAACTTTAAAAATTGATGAAAAAAGGATGAAAATTTTCATATTTTGTTGGGGTTGTGACAATTTAACCCTCTGATGACATCATTTTTGCACATTTGTTTAATGAAATGTAATGTAAATCAAAGAGCTAATCAATATGAATCAGCTGATACCTTGTTTTTAAACTTCGGTTGGTTTATAGCAAAGTT